TCGGCTTCTCATTTTCTTAAAGATTTTGCTAACTCATCAGCCCACCTCTTTACTTAATGTCTTCCAGTTAAATTTTCTATTGTCAGATTTAATTTGCCCTATTCCCACCTCGCCCCACTTCTTGCACACACAAACACACACGGACAACATGCATTTGCATACACGCAAATAAATTGCGTTACCTAAGAGCAAAGTGGCGAAGCAACCAAAGATGAAGCTCAAACCGCATAACAAGACAAACAGCAGCCTCATGTCAGTGGTGCAAGTATTTTGCGCAGAAATCTTAGCATACGCTAAGAGAGTGACTAGTCCCTTCTATGCAGTTTCCGATTTGAGAATTGATTTAAGAGCTTTGCGGATAACTGTCAGTGACCTCCCTGCCACGAAAACTTCCACGTTTATAGATTCGCTTCTGAAGTCCTAGCCACGACCAATAATTATGTCCCAATTATGATCTACGTCTCAAGAACTAAAGTAATCAAACCATCCTTACGCGAAAATATTCCATCACTTTTGTTGAAAATATTGCGATTGTATCGTGCAACGAGCTGCTTGTATTGCTCTTGCCTCCGACGTTCGTATTCGTCCAATTCCCACGGATCTTCTTTCGCTAATTCACTTTTTTTAGTATCAAACAGATAAATGTGCTTACAAAACTGCATAGACTATCAGACGACAAAAAATAACTCAGCTTTTCTTTTCACAAATTTGTGAATTAGCCATAGTGAACCCTGTGAGGTGTAACTGTGGTCAACCTCGTCACGGCATCTTAAAAACTACAAAATTGTTTACAAGTTAAACATTGTAAATTAAGCAACGCGCAAAATGTATGCAACAAATAGGGCCCGGTAAACGTACTAAGAATTTGAAATCAACTTTAAAACTATTAGCAATGGGTGAAATAGAAAAATTGTGTAGAAATGGCTAGCACAGAATTCCGGAGCAGATTTCATCTGCCCGAGCTAGCTCAAACTATCAGAATAAGCAGAAACACGCATCACAAGGAAGGCTCAATTTTGCCTTTTTAAAATAGGGTGTTATAGTGCGAAATTTCTCAAGAGAGGAAAAACTGTAGATCAAAAAAGACCAAATTAAAACAAAATTTGTTAATTTTCCATGAGTCATCTAGACGTACATCTCGAGAACATTGCCCCGTCGAAGACGATGGACGAGACTGCCATAACAGTTTCCGAGAATTACCGGTGGAAAATTTCCCTTTGTATTGTTTTGTTATAATTGCAGAAAAGGCGCGAGGAATTTCTGTCCCGGAAACTGATTCGCTCCCAACTTCGTTCGTTACTTCGGATCGCCTCGCAAGCGGCCGCTCTCCCCACTCGGTATTTGGCTTGCACCCATTCGCTGTATTATGCCCCAACATCCCGCGCTCTCTCTGTTTTTTGCACCTCTCGTCCTGCCCATACTGCTGACGGCCCTTCTTGAGTTGTATCTGTCGCATTAGCAATGCTTGACACAGGGATGATAAAAGAAACCCAGGCTGGAACGCACCAGGTGGGCCGGTGCGATTATGTGTTTTTGCACTTTTCGTGCCGTAG